AAAAAAAAAAAAAAAAAAAAAAATGTTTCTTTACATGTCTCTCCTCTTTACATGTAATCCATTCTAGAAACTACATTTCCCACCTTGCCCTTCTCTAAATGGTCAATGTACCTGAATCTGTTCATCAATTATCTGTAAAAAAAATAGGTCAAGGCAACTGGACTTGCTGTATTTTTCTTCTAGACGTTTCACTGGACATCTGACCAGCTTTCTCAATTCAGAATGACAAAAAATTATCTGGGAATAAATATGGCAAATGTTACTCCAATCCACATAAATCTGTTTCGCTGGTGTAGCTGCTGTTTTGTTTCACCGACATACAATTCTGAGCACTCCTCACTGCACTGGACTGCGTACACAATGTTGTTCATCTTGTGTGTTGGCGTTGGGTCTTTTGGGTGACCCAGTTGTTGCCTCATTGTATTGCTGGGTTTAAAGCAGACAGGTACCCCAGCTACAATGCTGTTTTAACACCTCTCTCTGGGCAGTTTAAATAACACCTCCTAGACTCCAATTATGCAAATGCAATCAACACCTGGTTGCCACTAACAGATTGTGGATTGGAGCGACATTCACCATATTTATTCCCAGATAATGTTTTGTACAAGTCATTCTGAATTGAGAAAGCTAGTCGGACGACCAGTGAAACGTCTTCAATAAAAATACAGTCCAGTTGCCTTGACATTTTTTACAGATATACCTTGACCTGGAGGAATGAGAACCCTCACAGACATGTTCATTAATCAAATCTTCTTATACTCTGCAAAGCTAATATAATAAAGCAGGCAAGTTTCATCAACCTATTTGTACGCAACCTGTGGGTTATAGGACCCCATATGGAACCTTAATAGTAGGGGGCGGTCCCCCGATTGTCAGAAGTGATATTTAGTTGGAGTTCATTGAGAAAAAAATAATAATTTGGGGTGTTTAAAAACCGCAAACTTACAGTGACATGGGGAATAAAAAAATGCAATTGATACCCACAATGTGCAGGCGTGTGCAAATCACGGCTGCGGATCTTCTGCTATTAGAGGTGTAAGGTATTAAAACAAAAAGATAGTCTGAATTGCGTATAGAAACCAGAGATTTGCCTTCACATATGCAGCCAAAATTCGATTGGCTGTTATACAAAACCCCAACTTTAGCTAATAAACCTGAATGCAGGGCCGGATTTCCCACAAGGCCAATCAAGGCCTGGCCTCGGGGCAGCAGGCGGTAGAGGCGCAGCAGGGATGTGGAATCCCTATCTCCCGATGCTCAGGACATGTAGTTCCAGGCTCCGGGCGGGTAGTTGCTTTCTTCATTTAGCCCGGCTTTGGGCAAGCAGAGCTGAATGTACAGCGGGGAAGCTGACGCTTGTTTTGTACAAGTGATCCCGGCGATGTCGCCAAGGTCACTTGTATGCAGCCTGCAGGTCTGCCATTCTCCATTGGGGGGGTTGGCGGGTAGGGGGGCGCATTGCGGAAACTGGCCTTGGGGCAGCAGAGAGTAAATCCAGCCCTGCCTGAAGGATTAAGACCCATCTGCTCCCAGAATTTTTAACCAGCGAGACGAAAAAAAAGTGACATTCCCAAGAAAACACAGCATGCATCCTACAACACAGCAGTGCTCGGTCTGCAAGCAACTTCGTTAATGTGCTTTAGAACATCAGTGTTTTTGTTTTTAGTTCCACTGCTACAGCGTAACAGACGGCATTTGTGAATGTGGACTTTGCTGCAAACCTGAACGACAGAGAACTGTTATCTTCCATCTGTAAACCATTAATCCCCTCCTCACCCGTGTCATGGAGATAAAGAGTGAAAGTCATGATTGAAGTCCAGCTCAGGTGACAACCATGGTTACAGAATGGCGAGTGTTGTCACCCTCAGGACAATACGTTTGTTACTGGGAGGATCACCAGGTGAGAATAAAAAGGGAAAAAAAGCCAAAAAAGAAAAAACTTATGCAGACACCACATCTAAGGACTGGTAAGCTGCAATATGTTTCATTTTAGTTTTTGGATTTAGATATACTTTTAGATTTTTAACTAAATGTTTTTTTCTGTGAAAAAAAAAAAGGGGGACTTTTTGGCACAAGAACAGGTCCAGCTCCTTAATTTCTCCTTCCTCCTTGACTATGAAAATGCATTTTGCTACAATGGCACAAATTGACAAAGTTTCCCAATTTCCCCCCCCAAATTTAAAGGAGAACTATGAGTGGGGTGCTTTTCACTCACCTCATAGTTCTAGCCGACCTGTGACAATGAGACTGTCACAGGTCGGCTTAGTAGATCGGGAGGTGAGCGAACACATACCGGCATTCACTCACCTCTCGATCCCGTCACGGCTCTCTGCCGTGATAGGGGAGGGGCTGGTTTCCCCCCTCCGATCCGCCAGCGCTGACTGGTAAATCAGACGGGGGAGGGGGCGGGTACAGCTGGCTCTGCCTCTAGATAGGCAGAGCCAGCTGTCAGTCACGCAGCTGGGCGGATCCCGGCACAATTGTCGGGATCCGCTTCAGCTGCGGCGTCTCGGTATACCGCTTAACCCCATAGTTCTCCTTTAAAGAAAATTAAAATGATCAGTTTCAATCATCCTTATTCCCGACTCCTAATGGTAATCTGATTTATTTCTAGATCAACAATCTCCTATGTTCATTTATAACCACAAGTAACCCTTCAGTTTTTTAATTTTAGGAAAGCACTTTTCTTTTTTTTTTTTATTATTTACTGTATCTGTCCGTACACATGGAAGTCTAACATGGGAATGGTTCAGTCATTTTGGGTTTCATGGACTGGACTGTATCCTCTTATAAGTAAGGCCTCTACACCCGGTTTTTTAACCTTAAAGTATAATTAAACCCTTCCTTTTTTTTGCATATATCTACTGCTAGCAAGAAGTAGATATATGTAAAACGTTTTTGTTTTTTTGTTTTTAAACGCTTCAATAGCGGTTTAAACTTACCTGTGTCTTCCCCGCGCGTTCCAGTCCGAAAATCTGAAAAATCTCGGGCGGCCGCAAAGGATCTTGGGGCGGGCGCAAGCCCAGTTCAGATTTTCGCCGGGAGACGAGTAGATCGAGCACAACTGCAGCACAGACGGACAGCTACCACAAGGACAGGCAGGGTTAGCGCTCGGCCAGGAAGTCACCTGGTTTCGGAGCAGGTTAGTTTGTGCAACCAAATGGGCCTGTATTTTCCCCTGGGCCCACTGGGGCGCAGCCTTCTCGAGAAGCGACACCGGCTGCGAGAGTTGTCACCAAGGTAAGCACAGAGAGAGAGAGAGAGAGAGAGAGAGAGAGAGAGAGAGAGAGAGGACAGAAAGAGAAGGAGACAGTTTTTAATTGTGACAATTACAAGGAAGCAGCAGCAAATCAGCGTTAGGTCATCCTTTGGGGCATGCCAGAAGTGAAACACACAGGACTCCACACAGACGGGACCAGTGCGGCGGGGACACCCCACAAAACTGCAAAGAGTAACAAGAGCGATTAGTCACACCTGGGAAATCTAAACCTTCGGCACTCTGGTCCGGAATGTGCGATTAATTTGATACATTGCATACAAATTTGAAACATGCATTAGGATTTTTCAAGGTGAAGAGCACATGAGAAACTGATTAGGGCCGGAACACAACAGCTTCTTCCCACAGCCTAAGTCACACGGAGTTAAGAAAATTTCTTTAATACAAAAATATGAAATTCATGCAAAAAAATAATTAAAAAAATTGCCATAACAATGGTCACAGAAGGCTCTTCTGTATTAAAAAGCATACAAAAGAAAAACTAGAAGCTTTTAGATTACATAAACACATTCAAAAAGATTCCATTTCGGAATACAAAAATGCTCCGGGTTGTTGGTAGGTCCTTGGCGTCCCCACTTACAATGCAGGACCAAAGCTCCGAAATTGTATGTTATGATGTCAGAATGCAACCGGCAAATGGAACACCAAAAAGAAGAAGCATTGGGGGACTGGGTGCAGGAGGAAGCCTGCAGGAGCGAGGGAGAAGGGAAGTAAAACTGCTTTTTAAATGGTACATAAGATAACAAGGAGCATCTCTGGGAAAAGGAGAACCAATAGCGCCAGAGATGACCACTCCACTGAAGAAATATATATGCAGATGTTCTACAGGTCGCTGCCCCACATCAGTCAGGGAGACTGCAATACCTGATAAGAAAACAAAAACAAAAAGGGGCCCCTTCCCTAGTGTAGATACATTTGAATTATACAAATGGCAAAAAGTGGAATGATACTCACAAAAGAGTAGATAACATTGAGCCTTCAAATCAAAGGTTGATCCTCAGTCTAAGCAAGATACAACATGTAAGAGCTGCACAGATGGTGGTTCCTATGTGACAGCACAGTATGCCTGGGTTTACTGTGCTGTCACATAGGAACCACCATTTGTGCAGCTCTTACATGCTGTATCTTGCTTTTTGTGAGTATCATTCCACTTTTTTCCATTTGCATAATAAAAACGTATCTACACTAGGGAAGGCGCCCCTTGTTTTTGTTTTCTTATCTCTGGGAAAATGTCAGTAGGGCCTCCTTCCAGTAGGGCCCCCCCCCCTGCACTGCATAGGTAGTTTTGGAACTTTCCTGGAGTTCAGCATTAAAGTTAAAGGAGAAGTATGAGGTGAGTGATTTCCACTCACCTCATAGTTCTAGCCGACCTGTGACAATGAGACTGCCACAGGTCGGCTCAGTAGATCGGGAGGTGAGCGAACACATACCGGTGTTCGCTCACCTCTCGATCCTGTCATGGCTCTCTACCGTGACAGGGGAGGGGGCTGGATTCCCCCCTCCCCGCTCCGATCTGTCCAGCGCTGACTGGCGGAACGGACGGGGGAGGGGGCGGGTACAGCTGGCTCTGCCTCTAGATAGGCGGAGCCAGCTGTCAGTCACGCAGCTGGGCGGATCCCGTCATCTACGCCTGGATCCGCTCCGGCGTCTCAGTATACCGCGAGGTACCGCTGAGCCTAGGGTAACGGGAGGCTGCTAGTTTGTGCCCTCCCGTTACACTAAGGAGAACTATGGGGAAAAGCCTTGACCCCATAGTTCTCCTTTAATGTGTAGCCAATAACCTTTTTATTGTTTTAGTATGTGGGAGGATTAGAACTCCTGTTGCTGCTATCCGGGGCTCCATATAAGAGATTCCTCTTACTTCCTGCCCTGCTGACAACAGCTTTACCAGACAGGAAGTGAGGGAAAATCTAACAGGGATACAGATTGAAATAAAAATAGGGGTTCTGGCCTTCCTCTACTTTACTACAAAAATATTCCTGTCTTTGTTGCTGTTGGAAATTTTCCTGGATAGAGTGGGGTAGGGTCCCTGTCACTTTTCTGCTATCTGGGACTACATTGAAGACATTTTCTCTCGCTACCCATTTATTAAAAATTGTCCGCAGGACAGGAACTGAGAGAAAATCTCTCCGAATCCCAGATAGCAGAAAAGTGATGGGGACCCCATCAGAGAGAGAGAGAGAGAGAGAGAGAGAGAGAGAGAGAGAGAGAGAGGACAGAAAGAGAAGGAGACAGTTTTTAATTGTGACAATTACAAGGAAGCAGCAGCAAATCAGCGTTAGGTCATCCTTTGGGGCATGCCAGAAGTGAAACACACAGGACTCCACACAGACGGGACCAGTGCGGCGGGGACACCCCACAAAACTGCAAAGAGTAACAAGAGCGATTAGTCACACCTGGGAAATCTAAACCTTCGGCACTCTGGTCCGGAATGTGCGATTAATTTGATACATTGCATACAAATTTGAAACATGCATTAGGATTTTTCAAGGTGAAGAGCACATGAGAAACTGATTAGGGCCGGAACACAACAGCTTCTTCCCACAGCCTAAGTCACACGGAGTTAAGAAAATTTCTTTAATACAAAAATATGAAATTCATGCAAAAAAATAATTAAAAAAATTGCCATAACAATGGTCACAGAAGGCTCTTCTGTATTAAAAAGCATACAAAAGAAAAACTAGAAGCTTTTAGATTACATAAACACATTCAAAAAGATTCCATTTCGGAATACAAAAATGCTCCGGGTTGTTGGTAGGTCCTTGGCGTCCCCACTTACAATGCAGGACCAAAGCTCCGAAATTGTATGTTATGATGTCAGAATGCAACCGGCAAATGGAACACCAAAAAGAAGAAGCATTGGGGGACTGGGTGCAGGAGGAAGCCTGCAGGAGCGAGGGAGAAGGGAAGTAAAACTGCTTTTTAAATGGTACATAAGATAACAAGGAGCATCTCTGGGAAAAGGAGAACCAATAGCGCCAGAGATGACCACTCCACTGAAGAAATATATATGCAGATGTTCTACAGGTCGCTGCCCCACATCAGTCAGGGAGACTGCAATACCTGATAAGAAAACAAAAACAAAAAGGGGCCCCTTCCCTAGTGTAGATACATTTGAATTATACAAATGGCAAAAAGTGGAATGATACTCACAAAAGAGTAGATAACATTGAGCCTTCAAATCAAAGGTTGATCCTCAGTCTAAGCAAGATACAACATGTAAGAGCTGCACAGATGGTGGTTCCTATGTGACAGCACAGTATGCCTGGGTTTACTGTGCTGTCACATAGGAACCACCATTTGTGCAGCTCTTACATGCTGTATCTTGCTTTTTGTGAGTATCATTCCACTTTTTTCCATTTGCATAATAAAAACGTATCTACACTAGGGAAGGCGCCCCTTGTTTTTGTTTTCTTATCTCTGGGAAAATGTCAGTAGGGCCTCCTTCCAGTAGGGCCCCCCCCCCTGCACTGCATAGGTAGTTTTGGAACTTTCCTGGAGTTCAGCATTAAAGTTAAAGGAGAAGTATGAGGTGAGTGATTTCCACTCACCTCATAGTTCTAGCCGACCTGTGACAATGAGACTGCCACAGGTCGGCTCAGTAGATCGGGAGGTGAGCGAACACATACCGGTGTTCGCTCACCTCTCGATCCTGTCATGGCTCTCTACCGTGACAGGGGAGGGGGCTGGATTCCCCCCTCCCCGCTCCGATCTGTCCAGCGCTGACTGGCGGAACGGACGGGGGAGGGGGCGGGTACAGCTGGCTCTGCCTCTAGATAGGCGGAGCCAGCTGTCAGTCACGCAGCTGGGCGGATCCCGTCATCTACGCCTGGATCCGCTCCGGCGTCTCAGTATACCGCGAGGTACCGCTGAGCCTAGGGTAACGGGAGGCTGCTAGTTTGTGCCCTCCCGTTACACTAAGGAGAACTATGGGGAAAAGCCTTGACCCCATAGTTCTCCTTTAATGTGTAGCCAATAACCTTTTTATTGTTTTAGTATGTGGGAGGATTAGAACTCCTGTTGCTGCTATCCGGGGCTCCATATAAGAGATTCCTCTTACTTCCTGCCCTGCTGACAACAGCTTTACCAGACAGGAAGTGAGGGAAAATCTAACAGGGATACAGATTGAAATAAAAATAGGGGTTCTGGCCTTCCTCTACTTTACTACAAAAATATTCCTGTCTTTGTTGCTGTTGGAAATTTTCCTGGATAGAGTGGGGTAGGGTCCCTGTCACTTTTCTGCTATCTGGGACTACATTGAAGACATTTTCTCTCGCTACCCATTTATTAAAAATTGTCCGCAGGACAGGAACTGAGAGAAAATCTCTCCGAATCCCAGATAGCAGAAAAGTGATGGGGACCCCACCCCACATTATCCAGCACCAAGAAAAAAGTTTTGGCTGGACATACACTATAATGGTGTCGAAATTGCAATGGATTCTTCCAAATGCAGATGGATGGCCGTTTCTACCTTTTAATGATCTATGCACCATCAGGGGCACAAGCCACAGTGGCTACAGGGAAGCATCTTTCCCTTACTACCAATTTCTTGCACAGGAATGCCTCCATTTTGCTATAGAAATGGCAGATCCCTATGGTCAGATGAGGGAAACTCTCCTTGGATGTGCTGTGCATGTAGACAAATTCAAAGTTTGAGCGCTGCTAAAGGGGACAGGGGTATAAACAACTATCCCTCCACACTTGGATCGGTCCGCAAGGAACCAGATGCTATTAACCAGAAGGGTGAAAGGAAGGCAGAGGATAGAGTCTTAAGATACATTTTACTTACTATATAAAAGGGGAAACCATATTATATCCAATTCCAGAATAATTTTTTTATCTATAGTGCTTTAGTAATCGTTGTCCTCGCTGCCACAGCTCCTTACCGAAAATGGACATGGATAGATATATAGCGGTCTTGACAGATATGATTGGTTGACACTGGTTATCATGCGCCACTGACCAATGTCCATTTAATGAAATATGTTACATTGCTCCAAGTAGGAGGTATAACTATAGGCCATGGGGTCCTGTAGTAAAATCATTGCAGGGCCAGCTGGCTCGCCAAGTATAAAAAAGGATGAAGCCAATAATATACAAGCAAAACAAAGCCATGAATATCTGATACTTGCATGAAATATACATATGGCAATATTGTGTATAATTAATTATCAAACACGAATGCTGTTCGGATAGGACATTGTGCAGTCAGGCAGCACTGAGTTTCCTATATGGTCCACTATGGATTGCATTGGCATGTGGCTCAAGCAGACTTGCATCTCGGCACACCAAGAAGGAAAAAAGGTACCTTGGCAATTTTGGTGTCATCCTTCTTTTTCGCGTTCTGTAGGGATTCAAAGTGATGTCTCGCGCTGTCGTAGTCCACGAGTTTCCTTCCACGTTTTGCAATCCGTGACTGAAACATATATTTTGGTTACATATAGGGGGAGAGGGGGGGTCACAGCTCGTGATTGCTGTCCATGTGATTATTTAAATACTGTCACACCCCCCAGGACAATTTTTCCCATGACCTTGCATATAAAAACGACAGCTACAAAGTATTTATTTATTACAGGTATTTATATTACATTCACATCAGTCCCTACCTTCAAGGAGCTTACAAACTAAGGTCCCTATCTCACGTGCATACATAGAGGGCCAACTTAGAGAGCAGCCTATTAACCTACCAGCATGTCTTTGGAATGTTGGAGGAAACCCACGCAAGCACAGGGAGAACATGCAAACTCCTTGCAGATGGTGACCTGGCCTGGATTCGAACCGGGGACATCGATTTTCAAGTATATTTGAAAGCAAATATGAACGGCAGATATCCTAGAACTGAGCTTTGCACAGCAAAAGATCATATTAACCAGAATTGTTTTTAGTCTATTTTAATTTGGGTTTTTTTTGGATTTTTTTAATATTCTTCTGCCTTTATTATTAAAATATATACTTAAAAAAATATTAAAAAGGAGAACTATGAGGTGAATGCTTTTCACTCACATCATAGTTCTAGCCGACCTGTGACAATGAGACTGTAGATCGGGAGATACCAGTGTTTGCTAACTTCTCGATCCTGTCACGGCTCTCTGCCGTGACAGGGGAGGGGCTGGATTCCACTCTCCCCGCTCCACCAGCGCTGACTGGCGGAACGGACGGGGAAGGGGGCAGGTACAGCTGGCTCTGCCTCTAGATAGGCAGAGCCAGCCGTCACTCACGCAGCTGGGCGGATCTCGACATCGGGATTCGCTCCAGCTGCTGCGTCTCAGTATACCGCGAGCTACTGAGCCTAGGGTGACGGGAGGACGCTAGTTTGTGTCCTCCTGTTACCCTAAGGAGAACTATGGGGAAAAGCCTTAACCCAATAGTTCTCCTTTAAAGTAACTTCATTTTAGAATACATAATGCTTCAGCTACACTGTATCTGCAGAATGTTCTGGACTTTCTATTAATACAGCCCAGTCATAACTGCTTGCTTTTGCACAGTCTCTCTCCAACTGATACTACAAAAAGCCTAATGAATTAAAGTCAGGGGGGGTGTGGGTTTTCCCCCCTCAACTCTTCTTTCTGCATCTTCTAAACTAAAACTGAACAGCAGTGACTCAAATGACACCCTCTGTACAGAAAGTAATTTGGAAACAAGAAAACCTTGCAGACTATGGAGATTATGAAACATTTATTGCAACAGTTCACATTTAAAGAAAAAGAAAAAAAAATCAGCCTGACTATAAAATGAAGAAATATGTGCAAAAATGCTTTACATTGCCTTTAAATCTGACAAACTTGCCCAACCACATACCATACAACAGGATGGTTCTCGAATAAGGCGTGTACAAAAAACAAAACTTATGATTCACAGTTGAAGATTTTAAAACTAATTAAATATTGCAAGATCATTTAGAACATAGAATCCCATGAACTAAAACTTTGTTATAAAAATAAATAATATACGACCATAGTGCCGTGTATATATGGATCAAAATCAATGACTAGAGACATGGGAGGAAATGTCAAAAGTGTCATTGTTAATCTCCCTGTGGTTGGCCCTTCCAGGATTTTGAATGGGATACCTTAGTACCCTGCACATTCATGCACAACATAACGTGCCCTAACGCACGGTAAAGAGCCAAATGGGCCCTTGGGCTTTATGGGCCAGTGCTTACCGCCCCTATCCTATAGCACCCAGAGTCTTATGAACTGCAAACCATCCCTGACAGGAGCGGCATATTAGGTCAAGGTGTACAATACTCTTAATGCTGGCTAAGGTACCAAGTCACCTTAATATCTGGAAACTGGCCGAGGTAGGTGTCCATGGTCAGGAGGGCCTGGTCTACCAACTTCTGATGGTAATCCGTCCACAAAAGGTCACTGTTCTATTAGGGAAAAATAAATAAATAGTTATTGGAAAAAGGAAATGTCATATAAAAGTGTATTGATATCACCCAACAGACCTTATGCGCAGCGTTGTGTAGATTGTCTGGCGCATATGCAATGGCCCAATGTATGTGCTGTGTGGTGTATATTCCCTGAAGCATGCAGTGTGTGGAGGAGATTGCCCCAAAGCCTTCTGGGATGCGTGACATCAGGGGCGCCCCGAGGCCGGGTGTCACCCGGAGCGGAGACCAGGTGACACTCCGCCGTGACGTCACCACGCGCATGCATGATGACGTGATGTTTTCATGAAGCTATGTACAGCACCCTGCCAGCTCCTCCCACAAGCCTTGATCTGCCTGCATTGCACAGAGAGAGCGATGCGCGGTGACATCATTGCGCATGCGCGGTCATCTAATCGACGCCTGCCGGCGGCCATCTTGGTGTTGGACAACGGCAGAGAGAGGAGGGGACGTTCACCCGGCGGGATGCGGTATGCCGCCAGGTCCCCTCCTCTCTCCTGACACTGTCGAGCTCTCAGTCCATGACCGAGTGCCCGACCTTTTAGAGGGGGTGACACCAAAATGACTGTCATTTTGGTGTCACCCGGGTGCGGGCCGCACCCCCTTTGTGACGCCACTGCGTGACGTGATATCCCAGGAGGCTGCGGGTAGCTGGTTGACATCATTTTAGCCTAGGCAAAAGAGCAGGAAGTATTTAAAAATAACAAAATTTATGTTTGATGGTGTATCAGGAGGGGGGGG